TGATCGTTTGTGTGTTCTTTTCGGCTCCATATTTTGCCGTTCATTATTACTCGATCGAAAACTGCAAATGCGGTCAGCAACGCAATTCGCTCAGGGTTTGTCATGTGACGTGTCCGTTAGGTCTAATAACTTCTACCATTGTAAACTTTTAGAGAAACGACTTTAAGCAAATGTGCTGGGATCTGTTGAGCCGTTGCCATTTGCATTCATTTTCGTATGATTTCCATCTGCGCATGGCCGCTCTGTATTCGGCAGGCGATCCACAGATCGTCTTTCAGGCCGGTTATGACATGCAGTCGTTCCTCTTCGAATTCCTGCAGTATTACACCTGCAGACCACTGTATGCAAGAACCTACGTTTTCAAAGGTGCTTATAAACATTTGTTTTGGTGACGTTTTGAGCGATTAACAATCTACTGAAATCTTGATCGTTCCCATAACATGATTCCTGCTCTTTTTCTCTTTCTAATTCGTGATTGTCAGGTTGGTCTGAAACGAGAACACAGTAAAACAACGTAGCTTCTGGCGTGAAGGAACTGATTATCATTGTTAGTCATGCATGACGAAATTGTTCAAACATAATGTACGAAATAGGATATGAATAAATTAGCAAAGATTTTGAGTTTGAGTTCGTAGGCTCGAGTGTGTTAACAAATTCTTCGGCGACACAAAGTGGCCCTCATACGTAACTGGGAGCAACATGTCATGAAATCCGGTTTATTTGGCACTCAGCGGCTATGGCAGCAGGGGTTACAGCTTGTACTGATGATCATGCTGGAAGCGAACCATCATATTCTTCAGGACGAATCGCGCTCCTGTGATGCGGTCGCACCAGAGAGTATGGCCGTATACACCTGTATGACCTTATCAAAACACCATGTTGTCAGCGACGTATTGTCCATTTCTCAGCTGGTTCTACCGAATCGACGTGAAACGTGTTCGCTGCTAAAGGGAATTGGCGGTTAAGACAAATGTTGTCTTTCTAAGGATTTGAACCTGTATTTCTGAGCACTCTGCCACCGTGCCACCGCCTCCCCCTTCCATCAAGTAAACGAACACATATGTTTATGTTTATGCCGTAGCATGAAAGTAGTACCAACAGCTGAAACATCGCGCGTGATTGCTTTAGCGAATGAAATTACGCAAGATAAATCTAGCATTACAGGTGCTCAATTGTCATTGATCCATTGTGCTTGCAGGCTCCGCTTAATCAGCTACATTTTTAACTATATGAGGTAAAGCTGGGCTGCTGTACTGTAGTAGTTTGTTGTCCTCAAATTACAATAACTAAACAACAAGAATCGAGCAACAACTGGCAAAGAGGCCTTGAATTGCGATATACTTTGAATTCTGATTTTGAAGGAGCTATGCACCTACTAGGGATAAAGATAACTACAGTATTGCAAGTAACATAGTCATTCTTCATGTGCTCTCTCGCAGTGAATTCATTTAATTCTTATAATTCATTGATTTTTTAGCCGATTAGTGTTAGGTAGTTGTCTCAAAAATTCGATATTGGCCAGTTGATTGTTATGTCTATCATCGTCATACAAGGCTAACAAAATTTTTAAACATAGTAGTCCAGTGAATGATGTCTCATCGTTAGAAATGGTATTTCTTTTGCGGTAGATTGCCCATACGGTGTTTTGAGGTGATGTTATAGATGGACTGTGACGTTTAGTGAAATAATTCTTCACGCATCGATCAGAACTGTTGCATAAAGTATAATTCGTCGAATGATTCAGTTTATTAGTGTATTTGTTACATGCGAAACATTGTGATTGGCGTGCTGCCGATCTTGGCTACTTCTTTTGTGAATCTGTCGACCTCTGTCTTTGATCCAGTTGTTTACAGATAGTAATCGATGCACTCGTATTTATGAGTTATAGTGTCACAGTTAGGGAAACTCACTGCGAATCTAACTCGGGACATTCACGGTATCGATTTTTCGAGGTAAAAATTGGTACAGCTTAAGGTGAAATAGAGTTACTGTATGATTTTACCAAAATCCCGCAGACTATCTTCAAAAAAGCGTTCCCTGTTGACTGATGCTATCATAGTGGGCATTAACACTGCACCGTAAGTTCCATGCTAAATTAAATTTTAAAATACCGGCCATTTTAAAAGCGTGCGTAAGGCATCCTTCCCGGTGTTACAGTTTTTCATGTTTTTTCTAGTACAGCAGAAATTTTTGGTAGCCAACGATCTTCATACCAGCATTTCAGTTTCAACTCTAAACTCTGTCCTCTGAAGTTCAGTGGCAGAGTGGGAAGAACATTGGCCTCAACAAAGTAGGTAGCGGATTCGAAATTCCGAGAGAGAGAGAGAGAGAGAGAGAGATAGATAGATAGATAGATAGAAAGAAAACAGTTTCGCTTAGCCGCAAATTCTCTTGAGCAAACCATTTACTCCAAGATTTTTGCTCATCCAGCCGAAGAGCTGGTAGTAGGTCGTTGAGAATGTGATGTTCTGGCGTATGCTTATCAGAATGGTGAGATGTACGACAATACAGTATGTTGCCTAGCGCCTTTTGGGACTGTAGTTTGCCTTGACTTGCCGGATAGCTGATTTTCATGTGTTATGGCCAGCACAGGTATAAATCCAAAAGCACTTTTCCTTTGACGTCGAAAAATGCATTTCGCTTTTTTGCATACTGACAATGGCCAGTCTGCGACATCCTGTAGTTTTATGAAGCGGTGTTGCATCTGTGATGCTAGTTTAATTAGGATCATTCTGTATTTCTGCATAGGTACTTGTTGTACAGTAATGTTTAGGTGCTTATGGAAAGTACTTCGATATACTTTGCAAGTTTGCTACCCCAGGAATATTAGTTATACATGTGCCATGAACGCATATCGGCGCTCTTCTAGCGTTCTCAGCTTTGCGCTTGCCAATCTAACCGCTGACCAAGTAATCTGACCATCGGATCTCATGCTACCTGAATGTCTGGATTTAGTACATGAGTACCCCGGTAGTTAGAGGCGATGATGTTGTCCACTAATTGCCAGTGTAATCTTTCCACAGCCAAAACTTCATAATAGGCTTCCATTTTTCTGAATCTATTGTGTATGATGAAGGATGAGAGATGCTTGGAACAGTTAACAATGGCTAGCACCTCGAATGAACTACCAAACAATGACTTAACCAAAAAACGTTTAAAGAAAACAAGAAACCGAAGAAATAGGTTTAGGTAAACCGTCAGGAATATTCAAGCTGAAGATTATCCATATAATTGGCAT